TCTGTGTATCTCTGGTTGTCCTGGAACTTGCTCTGTAGACCAGGCTGGCCTCAAACTCAGAGATCCTCCAGCTTCTGTCTCCCAAGTGCTAGGATTAAAGGTGTGAACCAGTACTTCCAGGTATTAGGGACTAGATTTTATGGCCCTGTTTCCCAACCTTCCACCTATACACTGCTAGCTCAATCTATCTGGCTAACCTATCATCTTATTCAGGACCTCACATCTTTCCCTTGCTCTATTCCAGACAGGATGAAGCCAGACCCAAGTGCTGAACCATGAGGTCCCCCAGATTCAGCTCCTGTTGTCAGCTTTTCAACGTCACCTCCTACCTTCTCCTTACTTTGCCATTTATGTCATTTTCCCAGCCATATTAGGGTCCCACTTCTAGCCCTCTGCCCGTGCTGGAACCTCTGAATAGATGCCCTTCCTCTCTGATCAACAAAACCAGATTCATCTCATATCCAACAGAAATATGGCCTCCTTTCTCATTTACTATCCCCTGACTACTGCACATCTATTGGACAATCTACTGTTCACTGAGACTCTTAATTAAGTCAGATCCACAATGGGCACAGACCAAGGGCTCCCGAGCGTGGGTAGATTCCAAGCTCGGTGGAGGCAGACAGTGGCAGCCACGAGGGAGGGGCTGACCTTGGCACCATATCCTGGCCATCGTTTGGCCACTAGTCTCATCTCTTTGTTGAGTCTTCACAAACGCAGGGACGAGGTCTGGTTCTCTGTGTTCCAATCGGTAACTGGCCCAGGGAAGGTGCACAGAAAAATGCTGAAGTCCACACACTTGGGATCTGAATGTTTCCAATGGGCCTTGTTTACCCAAAGTCTTGTCATTAAGATAATGGTATCTTACTCTCATTGCATAATGGTAACACCCTTTCCATATTATTTTAGTTGATCCATAAGTACTTAAGTATAGTCTATAAGATAGGAACTGTCACCCCTTTCTTTCCATCTTCCTATTTCTTTTTTGAGACAGGGCCTCAGGTAGCTTGGGCTAGCTTCCAACTCATTTGAAGCTTCCAACTCCAACTTGAACTTCTGGAGGAGGCTTCCTCCTCACCTGCAAAGTGCTTGGATTATAACAGGTGTGCAAACTGTGCCTGGCTTCCTACTTCCACTTTGTGATGAACGACTAGTGACTTACCCAAGAACACTTGACAAACTAATAGAGGAGAGACCACACCTCAAGCCTTGAGCCTTCCAGCTTAATCTCTGCCCACTAGACAGTATTAGAGATAAGAGAGCAAGCCATGGTCCCAACACAAGGTCTCCTCCACAGAAGACACTTCTAGAGCAGGCATATGCCATACAGTGACCTGAGGTCTTCATGTAATCACGAGATTGTGTGTGTGTGTGTGTGTGTGTGTGTGTGTGTGTGTGTGTTGTTAGGTTCTAAACCTGGAGCCTTATATGTGTTAGACAACCATTAGGAAGGAGGCTTGCCTCCAGTAATCCACTGGCACCATAGCACCCACATAGTTGAACGCTTATTTGCCCCCACCCAAATATATTCCTGCTCTCTCCTGACAGTTGTCACCTAGCATACGTCTGTCTCCTGGGTCTCCCAAGGACATGGTATGCCACTAACCTCCCTCCATTCCTTAAAAGGACCCAGCTCTACATGATGATTCCTCTGCCCTGGGATATTTTCCTTCTACTTCTGACTGACTCAGTTCTCAGGGTTTGGTAGCATTTTCTCAATGAGATTTGTGCCCCACCTACCCAGTCACCCACCCACATGTCTTTGAAGAAGTTAAACAATTGCAAATGTTTCTAGGTTTCACTAATGGCATTTGTCACATGCCCTGGGATTGCTATCCTGCTTCCCTCTTTGGTTTAAACTCACTTTTCTTTTCCATTTTTCTGTAGGCAGAGTTTTCCTGTCTCAGCAGTCATTCCCCAAATAACCAACACTGAGACTTAATATTACTTATAATTGCTTGGCCAATAGCTCAGGCTTGTTACTAACTCTTACATTTTAAAACAACCTTTATTGGCATGGCTTAAAACCCTCTTTTTTTAATTAGACAAAAAGGGGGAAATGCTATGGGATAATTCTTTTGTACACTGTGAAGATTTGTCGCTGTGATTGGTTTAAGAAACAAGCTGATTGGCCAATAGCTGAAGAGGATAAAGTTAGGTGGGAAAACTAAACTGAGAATGCTAGGAGGAAGAAGGGCAGAGTCAGGAGTCTCCAGCCAGACACAGAGGGAGCAGGAAATGAATGTGCCATGCTAATATAGGTACTGCCATGTGGCAGAGTGTAAATAAGGAATATGAGTAAATTTAAAATGTAAGAGCTGGTTAGTAATAAGCCTGAGCTATTGACCAAGGATTTACAATTAATATAAGCCCCAGAGTGATTATTTGGAAGTAGATGCTGGTACAGGAAAACTGTCTACATTCTCCCCCTGTGCACCAGGCCTTATGTATGCAAACCCAAGAGTGAGCCCCACCCCCACCCAGCCCTCCTATGCTTTTTTTGTTTCTGCAGGATATTCTTTTACCACTGCCTTTGCTTGAGGTTTGTCCTCTCTCACTCAGCTCCCTCCCACAGACTGCCCTCCAGTCTATTGCTTATACTGTCTAGAGGGTTCCTAGATTCATCTCACTGCTGCCTTTTCCTTTATTAGGATTCTCCCAAGAACCCATTGCCACCCCAATGTTTGGAGAGATGACAGATACTCAAGGAACTTCTAAGACCAAGCTCTCGCCCATGTCACCATGTCACTGCAGTCTCATCCCCTAGAGTTGCCTGGACTACAATGCTGACTGTTCAGATGTTATGTCTGTTCTTCTGCTTGCCCTCACACCCTCATTCTGCAAAACTCTACTCAGACGTGGGTAATAGAAAAAGTTCCCAACCTTAAGTGCAAGAAGCAAGCTAAGTACCTTTCATACCTCAACTCATTAGTTATCAAAGCATCTCATGTTTTTTTCCCATTTACAGACGTGAACATTGAAGTTGAAAAGCGAGCGTGGTGGCATTTGCACCACCTCTAGAGGCAGAGGCAGTTGTATCTTTGACTTTAAGGCTAGCCTGGTCTCCAGGACAGCCAGGGCTACATATAGAAACCCTGTCCCAGAAAACAAACAAGAACAAACAAAAAGAAACCCCAAAACCAAAACAACAACAACAAACAAACAACCCCGGCCCCAACTTGAGGAAAAGAAGGCTGGGACTGGATTTGAAGTAAAGTGCATAATTATGTTCCATAATATTGCCTCAGTCCTTGGTGTTTTGAGACAGGGTCTCACTATGTAGCCTAGGCTGGCTTCAAATTCTTGATCTTCGTGCCTCAACACACACACACACACACACACACACACACACACACACACACACACACACACACACACACACACAGACACAGGTATACATGCACATCCCTCAACTGCTATGATTTCCAGTAGTAGACTTCATCGCTCCAGGTTCTTCCTGATAAAAAGAATGGCAGAGGCACTTGGGGTGATTGTGAAGCCCAGATGTAACCTAACTAATCTCAACACTAATGACCGCAGGCTAAGGAAAGCGTAGCCAAGGAAGAACACAGGCACCCGCACGCTCCATATCTTCCTACACGTGCTCAATTTCCCGGCCCACGTTCCAGATGCTCGACTGTACTAATGTCTGCAAGGGAGGAAAAGGAAGAAGACAAGGCGGCCGCTGGAACAACCAGGCATGCTTTTATGCACCGGGACTCTAGCTCCTTTCCCCATACTTGCTGCACTCTGTTTCGCACCGGTCAGGCTTTGGCGCTGTTCTGGGCTTTGCACATAGCCTAGTCTCGGGAGTCTTGCCCCCGCGAGGACATGGTACGGTCCAGGGCGGAGCCTTCCGCCCCGCCCTAACGTCACGGCCCGCCCCGTTGTGAGGTTATAAAGTGCGCGCGCGGCGGCGCTCGGCGCCGTGGCCGCGCTTCCCTGGCCTTTCGGCTCACCTGGGTTGGCGGCGGCTGCCTGCCTAGGTCTCGTGCGGTTTCCGCCACCGCCTGGGCGCTGTTCCCCGGTTTCCGGAGCTCAGCACGAAGCCCTGGCCCGGCGGCCGGGGCATGGGCCAGGGGCGCGGCGTGAGGCGGCTTTCTGTACAGCCGTGACGTGCACCGGACCGACTTCAGGATGAAGACCCTCATCGCTGCCTACTCCGGAGTCCTGCGGGGTGAGCGTCGGGCCGAAGCTGCCCGCAGCGAGAACAAGAATGGAGGATCTGCTCTGTCACGCGAGGTGTCTGGGCGATGGGGTGAGTGTCAGTCACCCCGGGGACTTTCATCTTGGGGTATCCACAGCAAAGACGACTTTCAGGAAGGGACTCTGGCTAAGACATGCTGCGCTGCGCTGTACTGGACGGCTAGCCATTTCAGGTTGGCGTCTCAGACAACTACTTGCAGTTTTTAAAAAAGGTCTCACCTTGTAGCCCAGGATGGCTTCCAACTCGGAATCCCTCTGCCTCACATCCCAAAATGCTGGGATTGCAGGTGTGTGCCACCACGACTGGCTTCTCCTTGGCGGAACCTGACTCTGCATCTTGTCATTTCTGTCTGGGATGAGGGTTACCAGTTTGAGCCAGGCAACCTGGCATCCTAGTCAAGCCTGGGTTCATTCTCCATCCTGGTACTCACCAATATTGCAACATGTGTTACATCACTTCCCATCCCCCAGCTGATGAGGGCGACACCACCCACTCTCCCCAGTTATTAGTGATATTTCACTCTTCAGCCCCCAGTACTGTTCTTTCTCACAAGGTGGAGCAGGACTTGGCTGGGAGAAACTGGATGGAGCAGGGGATAAGGGTTTTGCAATCACCTGAAACAGCCACTGGATGGAGAACATGCCTGCCTGGAACAGGTGTGCCCCAAGTGTCCTCTGCCCCAGCTTATGTGTGCCAAGCCAGACTGCAGAACCCACTCAACAGCAACCCTGATTCTGATGTAGAAGTGGAGTGGCAGACCCCTTGGTTTTTTTTTTTTTTTTTTTTTTTTTTTTTTGAGACAGCTTCTCTGAGTATAGCTCTGGCTGTCCTGGAACTCACTTTGTGGACAAGGCTGGAACTCCAATGGGCCTGGTTTTCCTTCTTGAAGGTCCTCCTTCAAGAAGAATTGAGGCCTTCAGTGAACCAGGGGCAGAATTAAAATCACACCACTGCTTTCCCCATACAAGGCAAAGCATCCCACACGCCTTATCTATAGTTGGAGAAAATGAGGGAGAAAGAGCATGCTACTCAAGGTGTCCTTAGCAGGGCAGTGGTAGGGACTCTGGAGGCAGAGGCAGTTGGATCTATTGAGTTGGAGACCAGTCTGGGAGTTCCAGTTCATAGGAACTTGGAATTATGGGAATCTTGAAAAGTAGAGGTAATCAGAAAGAAAATAAGGTAAATTAGCTATCTGGTGGTTACTTCCCCCACCACACCCCCCAAGCCAGGTTTCTCTGTGTTACAGCCCTAGATGTTCTGGAACTCACTCTGTAGACCAGGCTGGCCTCAAACACACAGAGATCCACCTGCCTCTGCCTCCCGAGTGCTGGGATTAAAGGTGTGACCCACCACCGCCCATGTTACTTCTATTAGTACATATTATATAAAGTCAAGAACATGCTATAGATACAGCTCTAAATCCAGTTTTGTCTTACTGTTTAGTCACAAATATTTCTTGCCATTTGTCAAAGTCATTTCTTGAATGCTGGTGGCTGCAAGGTAACCCATGCTGGACCTCCATCACAGTTTATCCAATGACATAGGCATTAGTCCTAGTTGACTGTTGATGTGATTATCTGGTCCTGGAGAAGTACTGAACTTTCTGTCATAGGGACAAGCAGTTTGAGCTGCTCCACGTAATAACCTATAGTATCTTCTTTACTGTGCCTTTTGATGGGGAAGGAAGTGACTTGCCTACGTTCATGCTTTTAAAATATTCTCATTGCAAGGCAATGGCATGGATTTGCTGTCTACTGTGGTCCCTTTGGAGATATCCTTCCTGGGTTCTCTGTCTTCCAGGGGCAAGAAGCCTGTTAAATACATGTTTTTGAGTTTTTGACAGTTTTTTTTTTAACTCAGGGAGATTTGTAGTCTCTATCAGATGATTTTGAGCAGAAGAATTTCTCCATGTTGTTGTCCAACCTTGCAAATACAATGGGAAAAAAGTGGGTGTAATTACCTCATAGACTAACAAAGACTAATATGAAATGCAAACTAGTCAGTTTAGCTCTGTGGGATCTACTTTGGTGACAGACTAGGTGGGGTAGGGGAGGGTGTTCAAGCAAATTTTATGTTATCTTGACATCTCTTAAGAGGCCTCTTGTACCTCCTTGGTCCTTGAGGCACTCCCTAGTGGCCTAGTTTGCCTCAGAAGATCAGTTCTCATTGAACACCCTGTAGTGACAGTGTTTGAGGAAGGAGGAGAGCATGGATTCCGGGAAGGGAAGCTCCATGATGGGTGAGAAACTACATAGTTAACTCAGTGACTGTTGTTTTGATGTAAGCTTGGGTGGTTGTGCCTTGTTGGGAGAGAGTGAGTCTTTGCTATTTTTTTTTTCATTTGGCTTTTCAAGACAGGGTTTCTCTGTGCATTGCTGGCTGTTCTGAAACTCACTATGTAGACCAGGCTGGCCTGAACACGGAGGACCCCCTGTCTGCCTCGGTGTGCTGTCCTGGCTTGTGGTAGTATTTTTTTAATCTCTGAAAGACTGACTTGGACTGTGGTTTGGAGGCTTTAGCTAAATCTGTGTACATCCCTGCCTTTCCCTTGGATGGGAAGATTTTCATGGTAGAGCCCTTGAATGCTTCTGGCTATTCTTAGGATTTAGTGCAGTACAGTTCTGAGCTGGTACATTGTGTGACCCTAAAGCCTCAGATAGGGGTGAAGTCATAGTTGTCATAGTCTGGGTTTTCATAGAAGAATCACAACAATTGCTGCTGACTGCATAGCCTGGATGGTGGAGATGGAGCTCCCCATCCCTGGGAATATGCTAGGTGGAATCAGATTGTTGGGGGTAACTCTAGAAAAGAGGGCTGGCAATCTAACCCAGTTCTGTGATCACAGAATAAAAACCTCACTCCTGTCCCTACTCCCTCAATTCTGTGTAGCTTTCTCCCCAGCTGCAAAGACTACATACAGCTCATCTAAGCTTGGGAAGGAGGGCCAGTTATTAGCAGGTGACTCAATGGCAAGTGTGGAAATTCTGCCGCACCTTAGCCTCCCCCTCCTAAATTCAGCAACAAGTACTTGAGTTATAAACAACAGTTACCCACTGGTGCTGGATCTGGCCCAGCCTTCATAGTACAGATGAGAAACTGAGGTCCCCAGAAGAACTAGTCCAGGGGTGTGAAAGACAGGCTAGAACCTGATTCATCTCCATCTGTGCCTATGAGCCTCCTTAAGCCACAGAGGTGTGGGGACAGAACACTTGAGAGCAACCAGCGCGTGTGCCATGCAGTTGCCAAATGAGTGTTGATTGCTTCCTAACTCCATATAGGCATGGTGTCTCCTCAAGGCTTTTTGAGAAAGTTTCCCTAAGCTTGGTGGAAAGGGTTACCAACACCCCACAGAACAGAACTTTGTCTGGCTAGGTGAATTGTCGCCCCTCCCTACCCCGCCTGCCTGCTCCAATTACTTCAAACCTCAGATTGTATGAGGCTGCCTGAACACTTTCCACCACCTCATAACCTCCTGGCCACCGTGCCATGTGCTGGCGATCTTCGTGATCCTCCATCATTGTCCGTAATTCAGTTCTCTCAGGGTCTCTGCGCTTGCTTACCCTTCTTAGATCTTGGCATGCCTACCCCGATTGTCACTCCGCCCTCTAGTTCCCAGATCTTTTACTTTTGTGGTCCTTATCATTACCTAGTTGTCACATGTACTTACTGTTTGGGTAATTGTCAGCCCTTGGGACCAGGGGCCTCATTTGTCCTCTTCAGTGTTCTGTTCTAGCATCTAACACTAACACAGGTAGTAGGAACCCTGTAGGTATCTGTCCAGTGAATGAATCATTAGTGGGACTTCCCAGGTCCTTTTGGCAGGAAGCCCTGTCTTCCTTCAGCTTCAGTGTAATTCCTTAGCTTTCCCTAGGCCTCTTGCCTGTATGTGCCGAGTGTCCTAGAGACACTGACAGTCTGGTTAAGAGCTTGCCTTGGGAGCCGTGTGCCAAGTGAGAAGAGCCAGGTGATCCCCGGTCCCCACATAGTTCCAGACTACAGAAGGCTGAAGCCAGTATTCCTGCATTGCTTTTCTCTCTGGGACATGATGGGTTCATTGCCTCTGGTGATTTTATTCTCCTGTTTTGAAATAGATTCAAAGCTGTTGTAGTGGTACACACCTTTAATCCCACCACTTAGACAGAGGCAAGCAGCTCTCCAAGTTCCAGGATAGCCAAAGCTACACAGAAAAATACATCTCTCTTTTTTTTTTTTTTTTGGTTTTTATGAGGCAGGGTTTCTCTGTATTGTTTTGGAGGCTATCGGTCCAGCCCAGCCTCGAACTCAGCCTCTGCCTCCCGAATGCTGGGATTAAAGGCATGCGCCACCACCGCCCAGCAGAAAAAACCATCTCAAGCAAACAAAAACAACAACAAAATTCAGATATCTCAGAATTAGCATTTGAGGGGTTAAGGTGAGTGGGAAGTGTTTTGTTAACTGATTTGTGAGTAAGCCCCTTTTTTCTTTGTAAGTCATACAGGAAGTCATACTGTTGACAGAGGGCCTGTGGGGTCCTTAGCAGTCATGTTATGGTCTGGGTTGTAATTCCAGGGTGTTAGGAACCTGGGAATCTTAAGTGGCCTACTTCCTTGGCTTCATCATTAAAGATTCTATCTTACTTCATGAAGACAGAGTGTGTGAAGACTTGTTCTTGGAGCAGACTCTCCAGGGTGTGGGCTCACAGTTTGGTGGCTGAGAGTTTATGTGTCAGCCAGCATGCCTGACTTTGAGGACTCAAGGCCAGAGGGGTGTACACACATTGAGATGATGTGCAGAGGGAGCTGAGAAGTGACCAGGAGGAAAGAAGGAGTAACTGTGGGTCTGGAGGATGAGGAACTAAATCGCCTTGGACTGAGGGAAGGCTCTCCAGGAGAGGTGATGCTCAGTGTGACTCGTGAAGGATAAAAAGGCATTAGCAAGGCCGGTAAGAACATGGAAAATAGGGCTGGTGAGATGGCCCCGCATTTGCCTTGACACCTGATCACCTCACGAGTTCAATGCCCATCACCCATGGTTGAAGGAAAGGACTCCCAAAAGTTGTCCTTGGACCCCCTACACACACACACACACCAACTTTGTAAAAGATATCCTAGGTGTAAGGGGTAAAGAGACACAAGTTTGGGTGGAAATGCAGTCTGACTGTGGGTCTTTGAGGAGCCAGCCTGGGCTGCAGTCCCAGTGTAGTCCTCAGTAAAGACAAATGAGACAGAATGTTGTGTCCTGGTCTGGAGGGGTTAATCTGCATCTACCTTAGAAGACTCAAGAGTGCCAGGAGAGGAGCCTGGGGTAGGCAGTTTCTTGGTCTCTGGCACTTCTAGGTACCCATGGTATGGAACTGCTGTTGGCTTCTGTGGGAGTTTGGGACTGGGAGGCAGGCTTAGGTGTGCATAGTCCTTACTCTAACCCTGAAGGTCTGTGTAGCCTCAGCACGCTGCTGCCTCTTGCTGATTCTTAGTTCCTTCATGTGAAATGGACAGGGTTGTGGCAGAAGTATTTTTCCCATCGTGGTGCTGAACCTGGAGACCCTCGTGCCAACCCACGGGAGCAGGAAGGATGAGGGCCTGTTCTTATTAGAGCAGTTTGTAATTCCGAGCCAGTGCAGGAACTTGCTCTTCCTACCCTGCCTCAGAGCCTCAGTGCAGTGAGGAGGGCTCGCTAGGTCGATGCCTTTGGTTCCTTCAGGATCCACTGGAGAGTGTTGCCAGACCTCTCCCACTGCTCTTCCTCATTCTTACCCATAGTGTCATCCCAGGAATGGGGCTTCATCCTCCTTGGGGCCCAGCTAAGTGCCCCAGAGGAACTTACATCCCCATGGATTGTCATAAGGGCCTATTTTGGGGACTCCTTGGTGACGTACATGCAATCTGGTGGTGTTGCCATAGCAGCCCCTCCTACTCCAGTATTCTTGAATGTGCTGGGCCAGAAAGTGGGGGTGGAGAAAGTGGGCCACTCAGGTCTTCAAGCACTTGTGTCACATATCGAGAACCTGACATCCTAAAAAACTTGCTTTTTGTCTTTACCTTCCAATACTCTATCTACCGTATTTAATGAAAACTAAATATGTTAAGCCCTGGACCTCTGAAATGACCCCTGTGGGGTCAATGTCCCCGTTAGAAGGACCATTTGTAGATTAAAAGCCATTAGTGAATTCTAGCAGAGTACAGAAGGTCTAAGCTGACAAGATCTCAGACATCATCTGTTCTTTCCTTACCCCTTACTAGTGCTGTGGAAACAGACCTTTAGAGCAGGAAGGGTCCCAGAAAATCTGTGGAGACTTTGGGATACTGGGCTCCCTGTAGCAGGCTTCTAATATACAGGTCTTTTGGCAGGGGGTGAGACAGGGTTTCTCTGTGGCTATGGAGGCTGTCCTGGAACTAGCTTTTGTAGACCAGGCTGGTCACGAACTCACAGAGATCCACCTGCCTCTGCCTCCTGAGTGCTGGAATTAAAGGTGTGTGCCACTAATGCCTGTCTTGATACACAGATGTTGATAGCATGATCAGGTACTTCTACCAGCACAGCATGGCTGGGGTTTGGATCTGTAGTGGTTTGTCCTTCCCTTTGGGCCAGATGTCACTATTTTAGGACACATAATTTCCATAAGAGCCCTTAAAGGAAATTGTTCATCCTTCTGGGAAAGAACTCACCAGTGTGTTAGGACCAGGTAAATGACTGCTTGCTGTCCTGTCTAAGTTGTTGGAAGGAATGGGGTATTGGCTGGCTCTTTCTTGTGTTAAGGGTAGAGGTCAGCATTTCATGGCCTTCTAGTCCTCCTGTTCTCCTCTCTGTTCTTTCAGATTCAGTCTGCTGAAGCTCGACTAGACCTTTGCACTTAAGTCCTCAAATGTATTCCTGTCTCCCTTTGTAGATGCCCTTTGCAGGGCCTGGTGCCTCTCTCTTTTTAGACTGATACCTCATCTGATATC